TGTGTGGGCGGTGGGGGGGAAGGGGGGCAACCCTCCCCCAACCAACCAACCAACCAATCAATCAATCAATCAATCAATCATCAATCAATCAATAATCAATCAATCTTTTTTTTTTCCCCCCGAAACCCCAGCACCCTCCAACCCCCAACCAACCCCCGAACGAACAATCTTTTTTACTTCGATGGCGGAGCCCCCGGCGTGCTCAACCCCCCCCCACTGCAGCATGCCCCCCCCCCACTCCCTCAGGTGTCAGAAGCCCTCTGGGAAGGCTGTCGAAACGGCTTGTACGGCTGTACATACGGCCCGTACGGTCGCATGGGGGCCCATACGTACGGCCGTATGGACCGTAAGGCCGCCCCGTATTGGTACAGGGTGCAACATAGGAGTACGCCTCACAAACGGTACCAAACGAACGACAGAACGATCCGGACCCTCAAGGACAATGCTACGCGGTAATTTGGGGAATTCAACGCTTTCATCCTTATTTGTACGGGCAGAAGTTCCTTCTCGTTACGAATCACGATCCTCTATTGGCTCTGAAGAGACTCACGAACTACACGGGGATGATTGGGCGATGGGCCGTACGGGCTGCAGGAGTATGACTTCGACATCGCACAGAGGAAAACCCAGAAGCACGGGAAAGCGGACGGGTTGTTACGACTGCATTGACCAGGCAAGGTAGCCAAAGGGGAAGATATCACTCCATGGAAAGAGCCAGAGGCCCAGAGCTGGCCAAAGGACCGACGTACGAAAAGGTGACCATCCTCCCCAGAAGAACCAAGAAGTGACACCGTTGACACTTGGGCTCATTGTTGAGGGCGGAGAAGGTAATAACGGACACCCTCTCTTTCCCATCCCTTCGTCTTTTCTTTCCTTGCCTGACCAATTCTGTTATTTTTGCGAAGCTATCTCACGAGTCTATTCGGTTTCGATGCACCCACGAGGGGAGGGCTACGCAGAATGGGTAGATTGCTGCAAGTGCGTCTCAAGGGCCCACGGTTCCTGTATCCAGTATAGGAACCCGCATAAGCCATGGCTCTACCCCTTGTGCCGTACCGACAAAATCCGGACAAAAGTTCGATTCCTCGAGGCTACATCGGAAGGAATCGAGAAGACGCGGCGATTTAGAAGAGCGAAAGTGTGGACAGCAGTGAAACGGTATGCGCGCGTTTAAGCGCGCTTGGGCGTGCTTGAGCACGCACTTAAAGACTCCTGCGCCTCGCTCAAAGCGCTTAAAGGCACGTGCGCGCGTCAAAAAATCAGCCCGCGCGCGCCACAGGGTTGAGCGAGGGCAGGGGACGCCTTGGGGCCATTTCCACGCAAAAACAAAACAAAAAAATGCGCAGGGTGTATTTTTGGGGGGTCGGGGGTAGGGTCGCCGTCGTCGCCGTCGTGGTCGTCGTCGCCGTCGACGCTGTCCTCTCTCTCTCTCTCTCTCTCTCTCTCTCTGATGGCGCGCGCTCATGCGCACTCTCTCTCTCTCTCTCTCTCTCTCTCTCTCTCTCTCTCTCTCTCTCTCTCTCTCTCTCTAATGGCGCGCACTCCGACTGCGCGTGCAGGCTTGGGCGATGGCGGTTTGCTCTAACTCTCTCT